TCCTAAGTCCTTTGTAATTTCCTGCATAACAGCAGAGGCTGACACTGAGCTCCTGCATCCCTTGGTAATAGAAACTTTCCTTCTAATGAGATGATTCTTGGTGGGCTCCTGTATAGCCTCCAGACAAGAGCTGGTTGCCAGAAAAATAACTTTGCAGTTAACAAGCACAATATTTGTCTTGTAGAATTGCTATAGCAAAGTATTTCTATGCAGTCTACATCTTTAGACAGAAAAGGTTAGCTGATAAGAAGCTTAGAACTTTCGGCACCAGGTCCCAACCCGAGGAAAGGAAGCAAAACTGAAGAAGAGTGATGACTCCGCAGACTCCTCCAACAGTAAAGGAGGCCGATAGTCATTTAGGGCCCTGGGGAATCTGGAGGGAACATATTCCTCATTTACAAACTTTGTTTGTCTGTTTTTGCTGAGCACATATTGAATTAAATGCCCTAACACAAATGGATCCAGAATATGTTCAAATGATAGTACAACAGCAAGTCCTGCTGGTTCCTCTCCCTTTTCCCCAGAAGATGCTTCACCTTGGTGCCTCAGCCTCCTCTCCTCATATCTCCTGGAATCTCCAGAGCACTCACGATAGCCATGGATTTCTATTCAAGAAACTGCTCCTCAGTCTTGTGTTACATATCTATGCAACTTTAACACTGACAACTTCTGGATGCAAATGCTATCTTGAGAACAGAATTTCATGGGCTTGAGCCTGTCTGTGACTCTCCATTTTTCTGTGGGTAATGCTACATCATCTTGCAAGCTTGGCATAGCCAATAAGGTCTCCTTGCTAAAATACAAAAGTTACCTCCTAGACAGAGCTGAGTTAGTCCCCTCTGTAACATTTAAGACACGGTAGAAAGCAGCCTTTTCTGTCGTTAGACCCTTATTAATTGACTAGATGCTAGAGAAGTCACCCCTCTCTTGAACTATGTCACCACCTGAGTGATTTCCTTAGAATTAAATGAGAAAACAGCAATAAGAACTTTTACTGGTCATGGTCAGCACACACAAAAAATTATATATCATAGTCTAGTGGCCTGGTGCAGTTTTTTATTCTTTAACCTAAATTCCCTAATAAAAAGGGATCAAAGTGCAAACACATTTGATTAAACTTTAATCAACCATCCCAGCGGTGGCTGGTCCCTTGTTTTGGCCAAAGTTGGCTCCATTTGCCCACTTTTACAGTTGCTGGGCTATTCCCGATGGAATCACTATCTGGTTCCACCATGACAGCAATAATTATTTATCCAATGTATCCCTATTTTGGCAAAATAATTATGGGAATCTTTTGCTGCCAGATATTCAAAATCCAAATTAAGGCTACACATGTCTCTACATTGGTAGGACTCACCTTAACTCCTTTAAAGTCTCAGACATCATTAACAGGGACTGGGGCACTCATTTCCCATCAAAATCCACAATGCTGGGCTCTGAAGCAAGCTGTTCAGTGGATACCGGGCTACAGGCCTCGGAAAGCGTGTTCATCGTGGTACGCTTACAGAAGTTAAAATGCAATTAATGAGGCAGTCATTAGACAAACATCAGAGTTTAACCCCATTTTGTATGTTTGACGGCTGAAAACTGTCAACTTTCATCCTCCCACAGCAAATCTAGACTAACTTCCCAGAAAGCACATAGTCTGCTTGCTTTCAGCCTGGTGAGTGGTTCAGATCACAAGGGCCCTACTCACCTGTTAGAATGCTTAGCCCCACTGTCTAACTTTAATAAAACCCAATCCAGTCTCCTGGCTCCTTTTCTTATTTTCAAGTCACCTCAGACCTGACTGAAAGCAAGCCCTGATCCTCCCACCTCAGAAACTCTTCTTCCATAGATAATAAACTATTTTATATCCTCACGGTGCTTGTGCGATATCAGTGATCTTGACATCAGATGCAAATTTTGAGTGAGATGGCCACAATATACTTTTTCCTAAACCTCAATTAATGCCTCATCAAAATTAGGCCTTCCAACGATATAAGCCACTCTGATGGAATTTTGCAATTTTCAATATAATTTGAGTGTACTGCAAATGGGAAACTCTTTGAATTTCCTATTCCAAAGGGTATTATCAACCAAGAATAGAAGCTGTTATATTTTCCATTTTTGTTTCTCAAATTCAGTGTTTGCATATCATTCATGTCGTGTCTAGACACAATCAAAGGACAGCTCACAATCACAGTAACAACCCCTCCTTCTTTGAAAGAGCTGTTACTATATTAGGCTTCATCATGAAACAAACTAACTTATAAAATTACAAGTATTCAGAGCTGGGTGTCCCACACATTCCTAAACAATTCTGAGACTGGAATTCGTATGACTCAGATGTTCAGGACTGAACCATTTTTACTCTCAATGTGGTACATCACTTACTCCTGCTTCAAGGGTTTTTAAACAGCAGTATTTTTTCCAGGTATGGAATTTCATTTAAAATGAAATCTAAATGGCAAACATAAAATTTATGTAATCTGTATATACTAGTGTAGAAATCTTATATTTATGTAATTGTATACCAATTTGCCAAACACATTTCTAGTGCACTGGGGAAATATGTGGTTTCTTAGCATCCGTTCTGATGGACTTACCATCTCAGCTGCACTGGAATCTCCTGGGGGCAGCTATAAAGAGTTTGGAGAAAAGATATTCATTCCTTTTGTATTTATTCAGGCACAAAAAATTGCAAGTTTAAGTATCATGAAATTTTTACTCCATTCCAAAATTTCAGAAAGTTATTACCCCTGAAGTAAACATTTTAAATGATTTTTCCTATCTAAAAAATGTGGATTGTGTAGAAATAGCTTACTGTAGTAATTCTAAAATAATTAATACTGTACTAAATGCATAATTCTTGATATCTTACAAAAATCTTTATGATAATTTCCACTGAGAAAATGAACATGAAGATAATCTAGCTTTATATACATCTATAAACACAAGAAATAAAGGTAAAAGCTACATAATGTACTAGCAGCTTAGTTTCTTCTGGTGGGAAAACATTAAGCTTCATGGTTTGAAGCACATATTTATTTTTATTGTGAAACATTTATTGAACACTATCATGTGTGAAGCAGTAAGAATTTTTGACATATATATATAAGATAGTGTGCCTATCCTTGAGTTGCACACAATCAGGTAGCATATTAATTAAGAGAAATGTTTGAGAATTTATAGTAATGTCATAAAGCACAGAATCCAGAGCCCTTAATTTTGTTTATTCAATGTTTAAGAGTTAAAAGATACACCTAAAAAAGGTGACATTTTATGTTGGATTAATTAGTGCACAAACCACACAAATACCTTTGACCAATTTGTTTTGGTGATAAAAAAATATACACTACAGTAAGACTGAAGAGGCCTTTCTCAGTATGAAAATGCCATATATGGAAAATCCACAACTACTTTACTCCAAGTGAAAGATTGAAGGCTCTTCTCCTAAGATCAGAAACAAAATAAAGATGCTGGTTTTGCTATTTTCATTTACTATATCAATGAAAGCCAGGGAAATTAGGTAAGGGGAAAAAACATTTAAATTAGAAAAAAGGATGTCAAATTATTTCTGTTGCAGATGCTATAATCTCATTTCCACAAAATTTTAAAGAAATACTTTGCAATACTGTTACAGACTATCAGTGAATTCAACAAAGTTGCAGGATACAAAAGCAACTGTATTTCTGTTAGAAATGAGCAATTCAAAAAATGAATATTTTAGTTCATTAAAACAGCAAAAAAGAAAAGCATGTACTTAGGAATAAATTTCACCAAACTGGCGCTAACCTTGCACACTGCAAAGTACAAACTACTGATGAAGTGAATTAAAGAAGATACAAATAAATAAAAAGTATGCATTACTTGGTTTGAGGTACTTAATACTATTAGTATATCCATAGTATCAAACCCAATATATAGTCAACACGGGTTCTATTAAATGTACAATGCATACATTGTACAAACAGAAATCCACAATCTGAGATCTATGTGGAATCTCAAGGAATCTGAAATAACCAAAACAAGGTTGAAAAAAAAAAAAAAAAGAGCAAAAACAGAAATTTGTCACTTTAGGAATTCAAAATTTTGAAGAACAAAGATGAAAATTTTACACTTTCTGATTTCAAAAGTAACACAAAACACTGTAATCAAAACACTATAGTACTGAAAAAAGGATATGTATAAACACCAATGGAATCAAAATTTAGAGTCCACAGACACATCCTTACCTATATAAACAATGATTTTCAACAGGAGTGCTAAGGCCACTCAATACAGACAGAAGAGGCTCTCCTAAATTGATGCTGAAGAGATTATATACCCATATGTCAAAGAATGAAACTATGTCCATCCCTTGCCCATCAACAAAAATTCAACTCCAAATTTGGTAAAGATTGCCTCAGTCTGTTTTCTATTATTGCAATACAATATTTGAAACTCATACAGAAGGACCAGAAGCTTATATGGTTTCATTTCTGGAGGCTTAGAAGTCCAAGAGTCCTATCAGTATCTCACTAGCATCTGATGAGGGGCTTTTGCTGCATCATAATATGGTGGAGAGAATGACACAGTGGATGCAGCACATTTTCTAGCAGGTTTTACTAAGCCACCAGTGACTTCATGGGTACCCTACCCTCTGGACCTCATCCAATTCTGACTCCCAAATGCCCCATTTCCAGATACCACTAAAATATGAATTAGAGGTTTTCTACTTTCAAGGACACATTCAAACCATAGTAGACCTAACCATAAGATTCAAAACTGTAAAATTCTTAGAGGAAAATGCAAAAATATAGGACCTTAGACTTGACAATGTTTGTTTAAAATGACATCAAAAGTATAGGTTAAAAAAAGTTAAACTGGCCTTCATTCAAATTCAAATTTTTGTGAATTAAAAACATTCAAGCCTGGAAAAGTAACCCAGGGAATGTAAGAAAATACTTGCAAGTCATATATCTGGTAACTTAGTCACTTCTCTTTTGTTGCTATGACAAAATACCCAATACTCACAGTTAAAGGGGAAAAGGTTTATTTAACTCAAAGTTTGTTAACATTTCAGTCAACAATCAGCTGGCTCCAAGGCAGGGTGGCATGGTAAATAGAGCTTGCAGAAGAGAAACAGTTCATGGTCCGCAGAAAGTAGCCAAGCAAGCAAGAGATGACCACAGCTCTTTCAATCCCTTATAACTTACCCTGGTTTCTTGGGGTGGGCCTTAATCCTAGGGCCCTTGAGCTGACTTCTGTACCAGGAATCAATTCCAGTTTCACATAGTCCAGACCCCAGCTGTGAAAAGGTCCTACCTATGACCACATGAGGTTTTGGAGGGACTCTGAAACACAAACCACTACACATGTAGGAAAGTGACCTCTAGAAATACCACTAATTCTAGGATTGTATTTTACAGAGAAAATAAATACTAAATGTTGATTTCTCAAAATCCCACGCAATGTTTTTCCTGTGTTTTTTTTTTAAATACCATTGTAATCTTCAAATAATGATACTGTTTCTTCCGAATGGAAACTAACAACAGAAGTTTCATAAAATTCTTAGGAGAAAGTGGCTTTTTCCCTTCACCTCTGTGTCTACTTTCAGCTTCAACTCTTCCCCACATTTAATCTTTTAAAGGAATAGTCTCCATGCACGTTACTCATTTCCTTCATTCATCCCTTACTCTACTTTGTCTAGCCTATTTCTATACTGGTAATTCCTAAATCAACAGTGATTATCTCATCGTTACGTGTTCCATGTTATACTGACATACAAAGATATCCCATCCTTGCTGAAATACTCTCTTTCCTTCACATATGTGCCACCACACATTCTTAGTTTGTTATTCCAAAAATAATCTTTTCAACCTAATGACTTCTTTTTGTGACTTTATTCTCTGCTACCTGGCCATTAACTATTGGCACATCTCAAGAGTTAGTACTAACCTCTCTAATATTTTCACTTTATTCTCCTTCATCTGAGCACATCACATCTATGGCTTCAATTTCCAAATATGTCAGGACTTCCCCACCGATCCTATTACTTCAAATCGGCAGACCTTTTCTCTACACTGCAAGTACAAATGACTTGTTTCCTCCAATTCTGAATGTGTATGTCTGAAATATACCTTAACCTACTCATGACAAGTAATTACACCACTGATCACTCCCATTACACACCGCCCTTTTCTAGTATTTGTCTCAATAAAACTGTCATTCACCCAAGTACATGAGAACTCTAGTAATATTTTTAACATTCTTTTTATTAAATCCCAATAGTCATTTCATCAACAAAAAGTAAATTTTAACCTCCTACATCATTGTACTTCTCTTTTCATTATCCATATCTTAGTTCTATAGCAATACCTCTCTCCTGGATCATTGTAAAAGCTTTGTAACTATCACCTTCTGTACTGTAAAATACACAGTGGACATAAAGTTCTTGGCCCTTAAATCTGAGAAAGAAACAATAAATTTCACATTTCAAATGCCCACAAAAATAACGATAATTACCCATGTACACAACAGGAACATGTATGCACATTACAAACTATCATTAATAATCACCATCTCCTGTTTACTTAGGTAACTGGCTACACCATCTGCTTTCTATCTTATCTTTTGATGCCACAGTACTGGACCGCAGTTTTGTCAGTCTTTCCCAAATCATTCTGGGATCATCCAGCAGCCTGGGAAGGCCCTGATGTGCTTCTCTCACACGGGTGAGAAAATCTGTGGTATGAAGATGTTCGTCAAGTTTCTCTTCTAGTAGACGTGACTCCAGTAGAGTCTTCTTTTGTTTCAGGAAGGCAGCGTGAGCCAGCTCTGCTCTTTTCCTATTGCAACTAGGACACTGAGACAAAATGTGTTGCTTAGCTCCTTCCATTTGTTTTAGTGTCGCCCTCAGATTTTCAAAATACAGCCTGCTCAAAAGCTCACTGGGAACAGTACAATTTAAGGCATCTATCTCTGACGCCTCTTTATCCAGTCTAAACTGTAGTTTTTTATTTCTGCTGCTCTTTTTAGAGTTCACGCTGCGGTGTATCAAGTTTATCTTAATGTTGCAAAAAGACTTCTGGGCATGTAATTCTTCACTGGATACCTGAGTGATTTCTGTTTGAAGTTTATTGTCAGATTGGTGTCGTCTCGAGTCAGTTTCTTTGCCCCTGAGGTAGTTGATCCATTTTTTACTCAACTTCATTTCATTCTTTTTAGAGTCTGAAAGTTCAGATTCCTTGTCTTGTTCTTCCAAGCTTGTAGCTCGATATCCACTGTTCAGCTCACTCTCCGAGGCACAGGACCAGGGTTGCCTTCCTCCAGAGGAACTAAGAGAACTCTGTACCTCATCAGTGAAGGAAACGCGTGCCATTGCTTCCGTAAGCCGGTTTGTACTGATTCTCCTTTCTCCTTTTGAATTTTCCGACTTCTGGGAGGATGGTCCTCATCGTGCGTCACTTCCGACTCCTCGTCGGCTTTCCTACGGTCCAGATTGTTTCAGAACCCAGTGGAGGCCGAGCTCACACCGGGAGACTGGGAGACGATGTACCACCGGGCCCTTCTTCCGGGTAACGCCTTTCCCCGTTGCCTAGGCAACGCGCACGGCGTAGAGCGTAGCCGCGCATGCGCTCTGCCTCTGCCTCCGCGCTCTGGCTCCTCCTCTGCTCTAGGTCTGGTCTGGCTAATACCGGCTTTTTTTGCTCTGTCGAGCTGCTTGTCGAGTACTGTTTGTTTGTTTGTTTGTTTGTTTGTCTTTTTCTTTTTTATCGGTACCGGGGTTCGAACTCACGAGTGCCTGCTTGCAAAGCAGGCGCTTATGCCGCTGAGCTAAACCTCCAGCCCCCAGGATACTGTTTTAATTACTAAATCTTTAATTACTTCACCAGTGGTTCATTGGTGAAGATTGCAAATTGTCTAACCTCAGGGTTCAGAGAGGTTGTACGCGAATAGAGTTCAGTGAAGAAGCATAGGTGGCCTGTGACACCCGAAAATGTGTGCCTGGCCTAAATGAAACTGACATTTAAAGAAACAAAAAATGCTGGCTAAAATGTACAAATAAAAGCTTTCTGTTATTTTAGGTTACTTGCAAACCCTACGCCTTTAAGAATTTAAGTCAAAATATTGCAACCATGCTGGGGGACCACTGCAGAGTATTCTGTGCTCCTGCGGATTTCCCAGATCAGCCTCTCAGGAGTTTTGTACCTGCAAGTCCCCTCTCACTGCCTCGTCCTGGCAGGACCGCTTTCTCCTCGTTACCCACTCCTGCGCGTTCCAGTCTGGTTTCTGGGTGCAGAGCCTGCTCCCCACCCCAGCCCGAGGCTACAGTTTTCCTTTTGTAGTTTCCAGGCTTGTCTGCGAATTTGATAGTGAAGGCAGAAACCATGTCAGTGCTGCAGATTACATCATCAGGTGTACTTTAGTCGCTCAATAAATCTTTGAGAAAATGAATTGAATGACTGTAGAAACAAAATTAAATACCACCTTACAGGCCTTTCTATCCACGATCCTGGGAACTTGGTTGCCATGATGTATCCCTTTATAACAAGCCTTTTATAAAGGTAACATGAACAGTTATTCTCGGGAATTACTCTGAAGGTGGACTTTTTCTTAGGTTGTAAGAAATACCTTCGGTCTAAGTTTTATCCAATATTTGAAATAATTTCGAGAAACTGGATTCCCTGCCTAGTGTACCCTGGCCCCTCCTGTTTCCCCTCCCTCTCCCTCTCCCTCTCCTGTCCTACAGGAAGGGATTATTCGGGAGGAGCCACATAGATTTAATATTCCCCAACTGGAAAGGAATCAAATATCTGAGACATTCCAAAAGGATTCCTCAAGTATGAGCTAGCTTTATATTTAAGATAAGGTGATTCCAAGTTCATTTGTGCAAAACAAATTCTAATTTATTATGTAGTGTCAGTCTTAAAAAGAAGTAAATAATTGTGGAGAGTTCCAATTAATTTCAACGGGACTCAAAATTTTTCATTTTTAATTTTTATTTCAAAACTCATTCTTTTTAATAGCTATTCACATTTCTACACAATTCCTTATAGCACACACTTCGCTGATAACATTGACAAGCAACTACTGTAGTATATCTGGCTGTAGTATATCTTATGCTAAATATTTAGAATAATCTAGTTTTTGTTTTATTTTAAAATAGTGTTTTAAACTTCTCTTGAGTCTTAAAAAATATTTTTAGGGCCGGGGATTTTGCTCAGCGACATAGGTGCCTGCCTTGCAAGAACGCAGTTGTGAGATCCATCCCCGATATCAGAAAACAGACAAACAAACAAAAATTACTTTTAGCACAGGGGCCAGTATATCAGAGTGGGAAATTGTAAAATTAATCAGTTTTTCATGCCAAGTAGCAAGATCCAATGGACAGGTTAACACGCCTTTGTTAACTGAGGAATAAAAAATAGTTCATGAAGCCAGAGGTAAAGTTTGATTTTTAAACATAGAAACTCGTTATATAAATGTATTCTTAACTTTTCAACTCTGAGTTAATTTTTGTTTTGGTGTATTCAGATTCTATACCCTTGTTATGTTTCTTACCTGTGAAATAAAAATAATTTTGCCTACTACTTTCTTTACATGAAAGAATTTTCAGTAATACACATGCAAAAAGAAAACTCAGACCATTCTGTGTGTGGAGCAGAAGAAATATTCTGTATTAAGTACAGATCTTTAAGAGAATGGTACCTTGTGCCTTATGATGGCTTTTTAAATTGGCCATTTTGAGTGAGAGAAAAATAATAGAAAAGCATAAAGGGGACAAGGGAGGTGACTTGTAACTTCCTATCTTATCTCAAAATCTTTTTATACTATACTGATGCGCACAGATTACTCCTTCTATTCACTATACTGAAAGCAGAGACTAGAGGGGAAAACACAGTAGGTCATTTTTAGCATTTGATTGCTTTTACCAGGAAAAGGAAAATCAAGGAAATATTTGTGTTCTTCCCTGAAAGTTCAGTAGGAGCATTTCAGTGTCTCAATCACTTTGTAACAGAATAGTTTTTCCTTCACGTAGCAAATAGCAATAGATTTTGGAATACTTCCTGCAAAATTATGCAACAGCACTTACAAGGGCAAAAAAAAATACTGCATTTTTTCTTAGTTTTCTTATAATCTTTTTTATACGTTCTCAGCAGTTTGGGTGACAGTGGAAATCATTAACTTGATAATTACCGATACCCCAGACATTCCCATTCAAGCCAGTCTTATTTGCAGGGGAAACCATATTGCATGTGGTAATTCACATACAGGGTTCCTCAAATGTAATTATCATTACATTTTCTAGAGATACTCATTATTTTGAAGTTTTTACTTACCTTTTGCAGTTTATTTTCAAAAATACAAATCAATATATATGTGTATCCCACTTTAAAATAATATTTAACATACTGAACACAGTACTAAATACATTTTTCTCTTAACAACGTATCCTAACATAAACATACTGTTATCTTTGTCATTTCTCTTTACAACTGGATAATATTCCATTGTAGGCATGTGCCGCAGTTGAGTTCCACGTTTTGAGAGACAGTTTGCTATTACAAAAAATAAAATTTTCTTTGTGTCTATGCAGGTGTATATTCTCAGTGAGATTACTGATTCAGAGGGGAAGGGCATATATAGTTTTCAGCATATTTCCAAATCTTCTGTCTAGTGGTACATTTTGTATTCTAGACAGCAATATATAAATGCATCTATGCACAAAAGCTGTAAATTTGAGTATATTTACTCAAATTTATGAGTTTTTCTAATCTGATGAATCAGAAATACTATCTCCAAGTAATTTGCAGTTGAATTCCCCTTATTATTAATGAAATTGCACACCATTTTTTTGTAAAAGCCCATTTGTGTTTCTTTTTATATATGGGTTATGTATTAACTTTATCCATTTTTCTCTAGGATGTTTATCAGTTCTTTTAAAGCACTTCACATGTAAGAAATAGTTCATTTTTCTGTAACATCATTTCCAAATTATTTCCCAGCTTCTAGTTTTTCATGCTTTTTACTCTATGTAAAGTTTGATTTATTTCATATATCACATTTTCAATCATTTTTGCTGATCACTCATTGATTGTAGTGGCATTGTAACTTATTAAGGTCATTATATGATTTAAATTGACTGACTTCTTTCAGTTGGTGTAAAGTTTTAAGAATTTTATCACATTTAACCACATACATATATTCATGGAATCACTATCAAAATCAAGATGCATAGTGCTCTGTTTTATAATCTTTGAAGGTCCATCCATAACTTCTATATCTATATTTTTTCATTAATTTTTTCCTGCATTTTTCAGGTATAACATCACATTACCTATAAGTTAATACATCAGTACTTTTTTTAATGCTACAGATTGAACCCAGGGCCTCACACATACTATGTACACAGCCTACCATTTGAACTAAACTCTTCCATGTGTATAATCCTTATAGCTCTAACAATTTTTGCCTTACTAATTTCTTTAGTATCTAAAACACAATGTGACCTAGTAGCACACTTAGTGAATTTACCAAGTTTCAAGGTTAGGATATTTACCTGTGTTTTCATTTGTAAAATATATATAAAGTATCTCACAGAATAGAAATGTTTTGAATTTACAAAACAAGAAGACAAAATGATCTGTATTTCATAAATTGTCCCATAAAATGCTGTATTGCAAACCTCTCATATATTGATAACTAGATAAACAGGTAAGTAATAAGTACACAGAATGTTGAAAAATTTTAATTAATACAAGAAAAAAATCTGTCGTCCAAATTGGTAAGTAAATGTTCCACTTATATTCTTTCAACATTCCCTGAGACTTGTTCACTGTACATAGGCTTACACTGTTAATAACTACATTTAAATAAAATTAAATACAGAAAACATAGTGAGTTTTCATTTTTAAGTAATTTCTACATATATACTATTTATTTAATTTTTAAAAAATAATTATAGATGAATTGATTCTTATGTATCTCTTACAAGTTAGCAACATAAAGTTTGACCTGAGGCCTTCCACATCTTCCAATTTTAACCAACATCCTTTTTTAGAATTAAGAAAAAAGAATGTAATATCAGTTATCCTTTTAAAGCTAATTATCATTGAAATCAAGGAATTAAGAGGATCAGTTCCTTCTGAGAGCCATAATGAAAGGGTCTGCTCTGAGCCTCTCTTTGCCTTATGGATAAACATCTTTATAGCCAAAGGTGTTTTCCTAGTATGAATGTCCTTTTCTTTTTACAAAGACACTAGCCATGTTAGACTACGCTAATGACCTCAGTGTAACTCAGGTATTTCTGTTAAGACCTAATCTCCAAATAAGATCACATACTGAAATACTCGAGAATACCGCTGCAACACAGGAATTTATGATATAGTTGGGGATGGAAAATGTAATTATATCTAATATGTGTGCTCTGTATGGGACACAGATTAAAGACTAATTAAAAGTCTACTTTGGGATGGCTTTTAATATAAAAATGCTGGTGATTTGTTAAGGGAGAAAAGCAGAACTGACGAATACAGAGACCTACCTGTTAACTGAGACTTACTTTTGTTTTGAGGATTCACAGTAGCTTTGTGTTTTAATATATC